TTAACTTATTTACTGATCCTGAAACAACTTAAATGGAACAATAAAAAGTTACTCTCCTCTCGTGGGCGTGCATGCTTCCCAGTAACGTAGGTCACCCTGTAAACCGGGTGTTTAGCCTCACACTGCTTTTTCTTGTCACTGCTGTGCAGCTTCAGGCAGGCAGAGCAGCGGGGGGGTTATTCCCACTCTTCTCCTCTTCACATAGTCCATGTTAAGAGACATGAAACCGCTGGAGGCCTGGAACAATGACCGCTTTTCTTGGTGTTTGCAGGTTCCTCTCGTCTTCAGCTGGTATCCCTTCCCTGGCAGCAGCTCTGTCTTTTAAATTTGAAGCGAGCAGCGATGCGTAAATCCCACTTACATCGACTTTTCTCTAACCAGCGATAGTTTAAAAGAAAAAAGCTGATGCGCTCCAGTGCTTTGGTTGAACAACTATATGACTCAGTTCGTGTTTTTTTAATGGCCAGGCTCTGGTCTCAATCAAATGCGGGACATCTGGATCACATCTCCCTCCTTCTCCCCCTCGCAATCAGCAACTCTGGAACTGTGCTCAACACGAGTCCAAATGTGGGTGCAACATGTTAAAAGTCCAACAATTTTTGAGAACATCTCTGACCCAGAGGACAGCGATCCCTGAAAAGGTCAAATTGTACTTGTCGTTAAACAGTCCAGTCATATTCCACACCCTGCTTTCAAACACTGTTGCGGGGCCAGATTCAAACTCTGGCCTTTGCCCAGTGTTGGAGTTTAACACAGTTCAGAGCAACAGAGGCCTCGTCTGATTTTCTTGGACTAAAATATTTTGGTCTTTGTAATAAAACTATTATTGTTGTTTTAACCCACAGGAGGAAAAGAATGAGGTAACAAACTCACAAGGTAAAATATTTTCAGATTCTTCTCTCACCAAACTAAAGCTCTGCTTCTTGTAACATTTAAATTAACAGCGACAATAGAAAAATGTTCTTGCTCAGCTCCGGCCGTCGCTCTTAACGGCTTAAGGAGCAGGATTTTCTGCTAACAGAGTATATCTGTAATCTGGACTCACGCTAGTTATAATATGCTGCAGTAGAGAATGAATGAAGATGTTGAGACTGAGATGAGAACTACAAAGATGGCTCACATAGTAAAACTAGCCGTTTAGGGAAAGCCAAGTAAGTGCAATTATCATTTAACAGCAGAAGGTGCAACTAAGACACCTCCAAGTGTCTATCTGCACGCTATTAAAAGTGGCTTTGCTAATCCTGAAGCTGATCGCACACCACCTAACTTATCACCACTAGCCGGCCTTTTCCGACACTTTAATCGCCCCTTTTTTGTAAACTTTCAGAGCCCGGCTGGGTGCTTTCCATCTCCCCACACATCATTTTGTTGTATGTCTGCAGCCCACTGGGGCCTCAGCAGTCATTAACGTGTGCAGGGGGTGGGGTTTGCTGGAGTACATGGCCCCACGCGGTAAAGAGCAAAGTTGGACTGTTGTGTCTTTGCGATATCCATGGACGCCACAGGTTGTTGATGGATGCTGGTGTAAACACGCTTGGTAGGACTGGAAACGAGTAACGCAACTCACAGGGAGTCTCTCTATTGTCTTGACGTGTTAAGCCACTGAATTGTTTCGGCTCCACACAATGCTTTCCTCTTTTTATGTGACATGTGGATGTGAAAGAGGCAGTGCTCAGCGACATCAGCTCCACACGCGTGCCTCCACTGCAGACATGTAAAGACAAAACAAAGCCAGTATTTTTGGCGGCCATGTGTGTTCATTTGCAGTCAACTACATAACAGCGACTGATAGGCACGGGCAATGCTTAATGCAAAAGCAGTAATAATTTATAGGTGCTTTCCTGCAAAATTATTGCAGATGAGTATTTCAATGAATTCTCCCACAGTGCCTCTGTTCAGCATCGCAACACGAGACAAAATGATGGCATCAAAATGAATCCAGAAACAACAAACATCTGATCATTGACTGAAATATTCCACCGACATCAACCAGGAGGCAACAGGTAAAGAGCTGATGAGCATAAGCAAGACTGTGGACTTCATCATACTCTATAATAAAGTGCGACATCCACGGCCATCAGCGGCACTACAGCCAAATCTCGCTCCACGCTGGTCACGTATTGGAAGGCCTTCGTGTGGAATGTCAGTACGTATGTACATTCCTGAGCGCGTGTGTCCCGAGTGTGCAATTATCATAACACAGAGGGGTTTTTTGTTTCTCATTTTTTACATTATTTTTCTGACTTGATGCATAGTTACAAGAGCATAACACACACAAATAATAATTTCATCACATTAGCCGTTGCTGCTCCTCTGTGCTTCCTGACTAACACAAAGGGTCCTGGCAAACCCCCAGATCAGTTTATCATTTGTCACGCTCTGTGTCAACATCGTGACTGAACAAAAAGAAACGTAAAAAAAAAAATGATACAATGTGGCGAAGGTAGGAAGCAAAGTGGTTACAACCGTAGGGTATGACTGTGAAAGGCTGCTGTGCGATTTACAGTCTGTTCCCTGTGAGCACCTGAGTAAACCCAGTTGCTACCATAGGCAAAACAAAACAACTTCGAGGGACGACTCAGGCGCTTTCTTCACCGACCAGCTATTCATGTGTTAACGTGAAACAACAAGTATCCATACTGAGGTTTTTGTTCAGCAGTCATTTCCAAATCAGAACAGTATTTCAGATTTGGACGTGCGTCTGAATCAAGAAGCCAACACAGCCGTCAAAACGGCCTACTGACGCTACTGTGAGGTCTGTGTGTGATTGTGCACTGATGCACTCGTGTGGAGCTCATGACTACCAAATCTGTGTTGTGTTTGAGAAATTCAAACTCAATTCGGGGGGTGGACGAAAAAAAACCCCCAAAACGCTGTTTTAGTCAAACACAGCTAAGAAGCACAGGTCCACACAAACCGCTGTGCAACACGATCGGGCTAGATTCAGCACACAAACCAGTCGATTCAGTAAATAAAGGTGACGATTGTGGTTCCTTATTCTCTGTCACATACTCTACATGCTGCATGCACTGTTACAGTGATGCATGCTAACATTAAGGCCAAAGACTCAAGCAATGAGGTCTGCAGCAGGATTCACTGATCCAACACTTTCCACCTGAGACGCAGAAACTTTGGCTTAAGATATCTGCAGATCTTCTATCCATCATTTGCAGACATTCACAGTCAGATGGTTGCATAAGGGTTAGTATCCCACGCAGAAAGGGAACACTCAGGGATTGAACTACCAACCTTCCTATTTGTAGATAACCTGCTCTACCTCCTGGGCTACAGCCACCTCAAAGCTGTAACAACTGTAAAAACTTGGTAACAAATCCATGGATACTACCGCGTGGAAAGTTGAATTTATCATCTGTAGGAAATCTAAAGCCTCAAGGCTGGTAATTTACCAACTTTAATAAAGCTTCCACGTATTCATTGTGGCTCCGTAGGTTTGAGGAGACTGCTGAAAGTGTGATGCAGCTGGTTCCATTGGTGGTGACAATCACTTTAAACAATACTTTGGAACGTTGTGATGTTTTTCCAATAAAACATTCTTGTTAACAATGTTGAAATGTTACAAATGTTAAAGGCTTTTGTTGAGTTAGAGACCATCACCGACCGCACAGTGAAAAAAATCTACTGGTGTTGGAGTAAAGAAATACTAACCAAACAAGACTAATTTTAGCTGAAAACATGCAGGGACATGTTTGTAGAAGACGGTTTGGACGTGAACAAGGCAGAATGTTTGGACACAAAACAAATATAAGCTGAAATAGAGTAAATAAACTTTTTGAAAGAGAATTTAATCTTGTAGAAACTAAAACTGAGATAAGTAAAAGAGACAGAACAAATAACCAGTGCTTGTGCAGCAGCGGCAAAAGGAAAGGAAAGAAAGAAGAGAATGATTTGCACAGTCTTAGATGGCAAAAAGCATAAATATTTTTCCCGTCCAGGAGCACAACACAAAAAGAGTTTGTTTGCAACAGAGTAAATTTAACAGCCAGTCTCATCTGCAATGGGAGGCATGGACTCTGCTCAAACTGCAGTAAAGTCTAAATGGTGGATTTCACAGTAAAAGTGCTTCATTTATCAGAGTGTCACAGTTTAAATCTGTACATTTACATATTCACAAAGTAAACAACATTCATTCTTCTTGAGAGAAGAAAGTCAGACTTTATTCCCTCTGTTTTATTCACAGCAATTTACATCAACCGCTTTCTTCAAAGTCTGGATGCATATGATAATGTGATGATCCTGACTTTGCAGAGAGAAGCAATTTATTTGAAGGACCCTCCATGAGAAACAGATGGCTTATTTTCATCCATCGGCTGAGCTGATCTCGTTCATAAAAGGGCAACGTTGGAATAATGTCACAAACATCACTGTCGCTGTTCTGCTGTAACTTTGCTGTTTTTCCTTTTTCTGTGTCTTCGTTGATCGCCCTGTCTGTGCGACTTTGTTATTGGTCTCTCTTTCTTTCTGTATTATTTTGGAGACGATTCCCATGTGTGTCTTCCTGCCTTTTGACTTCCTCCTTTTGTTCTCGTCTCGCCCTTGTTACTGTCTGATTGAGTTCACCTTGCTCAGTCTAGATTTTGTCTGCGTGCTGTCAGTCAGCTCACTGAATTATCCACCACTTCTTCCACGTGTCTGGTTCGCATGTTTCCTCTAACAAATTTTATTTTCCTTGTTTTTTGAGAGAATTGGATTTCCTCAGTTTCACTGCAGCCGGATAAACGTGCTCGTGCCAAACGTTGACTCCCAACCTCGTTAGAATTGTACAAATTCTGTTTTTGCTTTATATGGATTTCCTTGCACGTTTGCATATTTTAAATAAATTACACTAGAAAAATACAAAGACGTGAGGAGTGGCTCGAGACTTTTGCGCAGTGCTGTATACTATATGTACAGATCGTACAGTAAGAAAGAGAGCTCAGCATTTGTGATGTGGATATTTCAGGTTTTTGCTAATATTAGGTGTGTTTGTAAAGGGTACTTACTCTCTCTCTTTCTCAGTGAGTCTGTCAGTGATGGTGTCCTTGATAGAAGAGCGTGAACCCTTGTGGATCACCGGATACCTAAGAGGGATCTGCAGGAAGCATGAGATCATGAGGACCAGGTGTGCTGTGTAACCCAAGGCGACTGCTATGCTCCCATCATCCTTTGCTGCAGGACACAAAGTGAAAAAGATGCTCTGCTTATCACATATTTAAGGTTTGGTCACAAATGAGACATTTCCTGCTCAGTTGTTAAGTGCGCCTTTTAGTTATTATTACTTTGGTATATTATTATTATTATTATTATTATTATTATTATTATTATTATTATTATAAACCAAAGTGTTTAAGAATCTCACTCAATGAAAACTGAGTCAAAATAGTAACATTTTATTATGGTGAAAACCTCAAAGCATCCAGTCAATGTCAGGGCTGTTTGTCTACATCTTATGACCCCAAACTGTACGAACGTCCAGCTAAAGATAACTTGGTAACAAAGTATTTGCTGGAAGGAGAGTAGTCGCATTCATGTTTTTAATGTGTTGCAGTACGTGGCACAGCACACAGTACCAAAAAACACTGGCTGCGCTGAGATTCCCAAATTCTCTGTGATATGTGCTTAAGAAGCAAAAGCATCACGTACAGCTAACCCCTCCGAGTCCAAATATCTGTTAGTGTGGAAAACTGGATGCCTCCGTGAACATTTGACGGACTGGGAAAGAAACTGCAAACCAACTCACTGTAAGCACGAGAAATTGTTTCAAGACAAAACACAAAGTGGTTTCACATTCTCAGAAGGACACTGCTCGAGGCTAAGACTTAAAATCACTGTGGTTTTTATCTTAATGCTTTGAAATAATAGACTATGGCAACAGAGTGGTAGGCTCTTTGGCTCAAAATGTGTGTTTTTCAACTTAGCACAGAACCCCTGGATTATATCACTGTCCTTCCTGTCTTTTTAGTCCAAAGGGTTAAAGCCCATGGAGAGAACAACTTCCTGCCCCCGAGGAATATCAGGTCAACTGAAGGACACGAGTTTAAGTGACACCTCTGGGTGCTAATGGAGCCTGCAGATACCTCATGAGGCTGAGCTCACAGGGAAGGCTTTGGGGTAAACGTGAAACATGGATGGGCTTCAATGTCCACCTTGACTCTCTACAGGATTAGGACGCCAACTAACCCTAATCCTGGGCACTGATGTGAAATATTCCTCCCCTGCAGGCTTTTTCAAACCGGCTTTGACACACAATCAGACAGCTCTGGACTCTGAGGACCTCTAACTGCAGAAGACTAAAGAGAAATGAAGAGAAATGAGTAAAGTGGAGGTGGGCAGTCCATGTTTCTCCATCTGTCCTGACTGACAACACATGCAGTACATCGTTTTCCTTTTGAATCAGTATTAAATTTAATCTGCCTCACACCAGTAACAGACGACTTCAGGGCTGTGGTTCATGCTCGCACTTTTATAGATGTGTCTGAAAGGACCGATCGATCATCTAAAACTGAGAGAAAACAGGATTCGGTCTGTGTGTCAAATTTTAAATTGAGAACAAGTAATGGCTGCCCATCTCTACTGTGTATGTAAAAGATGTTAACAGGTGGGGAGCGGCAGCAGGGAGCGGAGGAGTCCAGGCTAGTGTTGCTGAATTACGGCCTCAGAGGCTTGCTGGGTTTCACCAGCTGTGAGGAAGGGGAGCCCGAGAATGCGGCGTGGACAGTGGAGGTTGTGTTCCCTGTGTTGGACAAGTGGTCCTGACCAAAGCTCAGCATTCAGAAACCCATTCAATTCTCATCCCCCAACTATTAAGAGGTCATACAGTCATCACATTTCTCTTGCTGTGACTGCAAATCCAATTTGTCACGACACATACGATGCGACCTTTACTCCAACCTTCCCCACCCAGCTCATAACGGGAGCATTGTGTCCGAATGTGCCTGCTGACACAACTTTTTTAATGCCCCGCAGTTCACTAATGTGTCTTTTATACCATACCATGTGGTTTTTGTGGCTCTTTTCTCACTGGGACGGTAGAACCGGATAAAAACCATCTTGTGACAAGACTCTCTTAGAATGTGGTGGCAGTGAACAGCTCCAACAGCTACCAGCAAGAGATCAGCAAGAATGCAAACTAACCACGCTGCATCTCATCAGGGCAAAACGACCAAATCAACAATTCCCTGCAGAAACTCTCATTGCCCTCTATAACTGATCGTAATTAGATCAGTATGGAGCAGTCTTCCTCCTTTTGACATGGCGCACTCCATGCGTAGTTCGTGCTCCTCTTTTGAGGCTTACTTGTGCATGTCTACCTATAAAGGGCTGTGCATGTCTCTGTTAATTTGATCACTGATGTCATGCACAAGACGAGACGTGCAGCAGTGGGTGTACTGTGATTTCAACTGAGCAGACCGAGTGAATGGGAATATCAATCATCTGCAGCTACTACAGCTATTCTCCCCTCATTTAGGCTACAATTATGTCATTATGCCCTTTATGTATGAAAATGACAAACTATCAATTATTGCATTCGTGCACAGTACAACAAAGGTTATGGTACCTTAACAGTAATAGCTTTTTGCAAAATTGCCATCTGCAATAGCCAAAACTATGATATCATAGATAACTGTCTATGAAATCATCAGCCTTCATTTATCCTTCAGTAAAATGTTAGATTGCTTCACTTCACGACATCTGCATCTAACCACAAGCGTCGAATGCAAGACAAAACATTTGCACAGCATACCACTTATCCTCCTGCAACACTTAAATAGGCGGGCAGGCACATAATCAATTACCTTGAAAGTCTTCCGAGTTTGGCAGCTTCACTCCACAGATGACATAATCCGACTGATTGGTCTGTGGATTTAAAGAAGAGCTTTCACATGAAGGACAGAGCAACTGGACATCAGCAACAGATCCATAATCAGCCGGCAGAGGGACGGGCCTAAAATCATTCAGTTAGTATACAAACTAAATTTATCTTTGGAATAAACATGGAAATCGTTGCACACACTATATAACCCCCTCCAGCATCTGTGCTTCACCAAAGTCTTACATTTGTAACCAGATATTTCTCTGCAGTTGCCCAACTCACCACATCGATGGGGTAGATGTAGGAAAGCTCAGAGAGGAGCTGACGACAACGGAAGGTGAGCTGGGCGTTGGACTTGAGGAACTGCTCTCTGATGGAGACAGAGCAGAGGTCAGTTAAAGAGATGGGAACAGATGAAAATCAGAGGGAGGACAGGGTCCCAATTAAAGCCTTAAAGGCCTGACAGCTACTGCCTATATAAAAGGGATCAAGACAAAAGATGCAGTATAATATGGCAGTTTAATGTTGGCAAAAAAAGGAACAAAAATAGCATGATCTGGGGGGTTTCTCCTCTCTCTTCATGTGACAATGTAGTGTTCAAAATTGTCATTACAGGTCAGTCCTTTTTAGTAATGCAGGGTCTGTCTATGGCCACTAGGAAAAATCATTCTTAATGGCTGTTATCCAGGTTTTAGTCTTTGACCTATGCGTATAGCTCCGAGGTGACACAGACTGAAACTAAAGGAAGCTGTGGAGCTACGTGAAACCTACCATGATTCCCCTTTTCATTTTTTTGCATTTAAAATGTTGTTACCTGAACTTTTATAGTTAAAAGTCATGAACATGACTGGATGCCTTTGTATGAATACTCTCTAAATGTGTATGCTTACATTTAAGTGAGTCTGTTCGCATTTTAAATGCCCTGTACGGCACTCATGCCTCTACTTGTGGATCAGTGTGGATAATACCAAAGCATTTCATGCAGATACCTCTACGTTCTTCCATTAATGTGTGTAAAATCTCACCACTAGATGCTATTGGACTGCAGATTGTTCTACAGTGGCCACCGATTATGCACAAACAGCTCGAACCACTTTCTGTGCATGCTGTGTTTGTAATGAGTGCAGGCTGTCAGTCCTGTATCCCTCAGCTATGACACGTGTCCACGTCTGTTTGCTCTGGACGAGGCTGGAAATGTTTGTGCAAAGAGTCTGACACAAACTGATGAGTCAGTGAAGCTCACATCTGACCAATGACAGCGATACCGAGGCGAGTCGTCGAGGACATCACCGACGTTCTCGCTCAGTAATCCATCAACACCTACGAGTCCTCTCCTGCTCTGTCTTTAGCAGACTACACATGTGGCTGGTCTCTAGTCACATAGATAAAAATGCGATCAGGGTATAAATGCCATGCCTGTCTCCAGACAGTCAGGCAATATGGTGTCTTTTACAAACCGGCGCCTGCTCCTGTGTATGTTTAATGGACTCATTCTAAGTCTATGAGAACACATCAATTTGGAAGATGTCATTACATAATAACCAGTGTATATTTATGAGTTCAACATTCGTACATTTAAAAATACATGTTTGTTTAAGCAGTTACTCGAAAAATACGCCAACCTAAACACTTTGTGTATACACCAATCCTGCGTCACAGAAGGAAGAGAAAGAAGAAGTTTAGTTCTCAATAGTAAAAACTTCTTTCTGTTTTTCTGATAAGTTAACTGGGTGCTGACTTTACTATTAGAACATATTAGATAAAAGTGGGGTCGATCTTCTCTTTAAATGAGCAAACTGTTAACTCCGCTGTTATTGTGCAAGATACAGTGAAACTAATGTTACACTGTATCAGTAAATAAGTAGCACTTGTAGTTTATAATTGGAATAAATATACTGCCAGTGTTGGTCAAGTTAGTTGATAAAAGTAATCAGTAACTAATTACTGATTACGTCCCCAAAAAAGTAATCCCGTTACTTTACTGATGACTTATTTTCAAAAGTAATTAGTTACTTAGTTACTTTTTAAAAACACGATTTACAACCTGAAGAGGTGATAAAGCGATAGATCTTTCAGCCCAATTCTACTTTTCTGCATAATCCATCATACAAAATATGATCAAATGGAAAAGTCTCTTTTTAAAACTTGTTTTATTAGTTTTAATCTTTTAACTTTAAGCATCAAGCAAAACTTTAATTATATGCAACATTCTCTGACTGGAAGAAATTAGTTTAACATTTAAACCTATTTTCTGCACATTCCAGCACATAAAATAAAATATTTTGTGTGTTTACACTCAGTCTTTCAAATAGATGCAAGTAAAACACAGCAGGAAATAAATAAAGTCAAAGACTCAGCGGTCCTGTTGCTCTATTTTCACCTGTAAAGCAGGAGTGGGGTAGGCGGAGGTTTACCCTGGTGCAGGTGTGCCGCGGTCAGTGGAAGAATCCGCGAGTTTCTCTGTGAGTTTCCCATTACGTCGTAGCTACTCGGTGCTTGCTTGGAAGTTTAGGGGTTTTTCGCTGTAAAAAGAAGTTTTCTTCCCACGCACAGCGGACACTAATGTTGTCACTTTTTATGGAATCAAACTCAAAGTAAGGTCAGTACTTCCACGCTTTAAACGCTGCACGCTCATACTCTCTCCGCACTCGATATGTGATCCATTGTTGATCTGCACACAGCTGTTGTCACCAACGGCGCACTCGCTTACGTCACTGTCGTGAGACATTCTCGCAAAAAAATCACGGTTTTAGTAACGCAGTGTTCCTACGGGAAAGTAATAGTAATCTAATTACCGTTTTTGCAATAGTAATCCCTTACTTTAATTGTTACTTGATAAGAGTAATCGGATTACAGTAACGCGTTACTGCCCATCTCTGTATACTGCTCCAAAAAGATCTTTCAGTAAAGATTTTCAACATGAACTTTTCTTTCATGAAGGTCCAACATGTCATTTAAGTGTTGCTTTTATGTTTTTGGCTTTTATTCTATGTTTGATTTGTTTTTGAGCACAACAGTTTTCATTGTCTTATATAGTTGTGTCATGTTGGTTTGCTGTGCTGTAACTCTTTGCTTAACTGCTTTTTTCCTACAAAACTGCGATTAACGTGACCTCTGCTGCGAGTTTCTCTGGACAAAACCATCTGATGAGTTCAGAAAAGAAATATTTCTTTGGCTGAACTGCCAACATGTGGAAATGTGGAATGTCTTAATTAAAAGTGCTCTTAACTCAAGAAAGCTGTCACACAATAGTTTAACCTTTAACTATAAATTAATTAATAAATCGCAGAATTCTTAGTACAGAAGAATTCAAAAAAATGCAGCTATGTAGCTATAAAATAGTATCATGAAAATACTGACGTCACATTTGCAGAGTAACACGATTGAGTAAATGTACTTGTAACTTTCTGGGGATCGAAGCCATGACAAGATTCAAATAATATTAAACAGAAATGTGGAAAGGCTGAGAAAAAGTGTGTATGCTCAGTATAACATTCCCTCGCTAAACACTATAAATGAAAAGAGACACTTTCATGAAAAACAAACGACAAGTTATTTCCAAGGAATGGATGTTAAGCAGATACAAGTGTCGGTGTTAATTTCCTGTTTGCTGGGTCTCTTGGCCCCTGCTGGCCTTCCTGGGGCTCTGGCTTACCCTCTGCGACTGCCAGGTACTTCTCAGATAAACAAAAACGTATCCAGAATCTGTGCCCGCCGCACACACGTCTCACCGCAAGCCAAGGCAAACACCGGCCAAACGCCTTTTTAGCACAATGTGCAAACTCTTGGTCGAGAACACATAAACAGGGAGCAGCGGCCACAAAAACAGGCCATTGTTTTGAAAGAGTAAGGTGCAGGGTGCAATCTTATACCTGTTCGCTCAATTTAATGCAAGTGACTAACACACTGAGCATCATCATTCAGAGTGTCCATCTGATGGGGTTCAAGCTTTCAAATCGTTTTCCTGTGCAGCAAACACAGAAACGGTTAATTGCGGTTTGATACACACCTCTTGGCTGTGCATTCCTTCTGCAGCTTGGATAAGGACTCTTTCTCCTCCTTCAGACGCTCGTGCTGAGCAGAAAACGAATCCTCTGACAGAGACAGAGAAGAAAAATGTAAATTATTAGGTGTGCGTTTGTTCTGGTCTATCTGAACAGCCAGCCAGGTGGGCTTGTGTTTGGTTGGCTGCCATCCACTGTTAAACCCGAGCAAGATCAAACAGCTGCTTTGATGAGCCCAAAACATTTCCTTCTGACACAACATAAAACCTAATGACATATGTATGCAGATTATAGGATTAGTCAGACAGTAAATACAGAGTTGGGGAAATGAATAAAATCAGACAGAAAAGTGACGGGATGATACAGAGGGAGGAAGTGGCGTTACCGCAGCACTGGCAAGCTCACAGTATGCACGTGAAAAAAGCAGAACGATAACGGCTAATTAAAGGTTCGAACAGCATGTCTCTCGGATAGAGCATCACATAAGGGTAAATGCAGTAGAAATGCATTGCATTCTTTTTCTTTGAACTCAATGTTTACAGTTCTTTTGGCTTGTTTACACAGCGAACGATTTAATTTTTATCCCTTTCAAATTATGAATAATAATCATTACAAAGGAAAGCAGCGCTGTTTGCTGCGTGACGGGGTGAACTGCAGAGACGTGCATCAATCTAACATTTCACATCAACTTAGCAAAGCAGTCTGTGCGTTACGTTCTGGCTTCACCACATGAGAAACGTTGGAGTGTCTCGTCTGGTATCGCGTACAGTACTCACAACAGCGTTCTGAGTCGCGTGAATAAATAGCATCCTTTCATGCAGATAAAAAGGGATTTTGATGGGAAAATTGTTATTGGATGCGACGCGTCCTCCCATAAAGGCTCCTCTCCTTTCACATGAATTTCCTCTTCAGGTTTGCCTGTGGTTAGCAGCCTCTTATCGCTTCTAATTCCTCAGTGGGAAGCAGTTTTGTTTAACTGTAAGAGGAGATGGACAGACGGCTGATCTCAAATCACACGCGTCTAACATTCTTGGCTTCGTCTAACTGGTTAAGCCATGATGGCAGCTCCTTCTGAAGTTTTTCTATAACTCTAGTTCCTCTCAATGTATGCCATCAAACAAAGAGTTCAATCTTTAACACATTTGCAGAATTAAACACACAATCTAGCTTAGAATAATTCACATTCTGGCAAATGCAACTCATTTTCAGAGAAAGAAGAATTTAAGTGAAACACATTTTGTTTACAGTAAATATGTAGTCAAGCACATTTAAGTGGTACTGAATTCAGTTTCGTTCAGTGTCTGCATGAAACCACCAGAACATACAGAACAGACTGTATACAACGATGGGCACAGCATACCGATCTAAAAAATGAAACCAAAGCAGAAGTTATGTTCAATCTTTCCAACAAGCAACAGAGGGCGAACATCCTGGTTGCAAAGGTCTAGAAGAAAATGACTGTGCTGCTTATAGGTGCTATTGTGCAGTTTCCAATGTGTTAATGCTGTGTCCGTTTGCTTACAGAGAGGGTATGCGACCCATCTATAAAAACAGGAACACATAGGCTGACAAAGACGAAGCTGTGCATAAGTCGAATAGACAGACTTCAGTTCTTTGCCTACTTTGGTTTTTCCCCTCCTTGCAGCTGACTAAAGAACCAACAGAACAAGCAACAATAACCCACAGACCGATGTTTGTGACACTGCCCCTTGGTGACAGTAAAGAGCTACAACATGCAGATAATGGCTCCAAAGCTGATCGTAGGGTCTGCTTAGGCCAGAGGTCACCAACCTGCTGCTCTTTAGCCCCTAAGCTGTGAGGGGCTGCTAACTGTGACATTAACAAAACACCACTGTTAAAGAGTTCGAAAGAAATCAGGTTTTTCCTTTAAATGTCAGCGTATTAATGAATGCTATGAAAAATTAGTGCATGCTTCCAACATGCGCCACATCACCACAGCTGCATCTGGTGGGATTCAGACGTGACACCTGTCTACTTTACTGTTGTTATCAGTGCGTTTTGTATTAAGCATTCTAACAGGAGAAGACCTGCACCTCCCCAGTATATCCAGTATGAACAGAAACAACGTAGCACATTTCTAAATATTCTCCCATACAGTTGTTTTTAAATGCACTGTTATTGCGAGTAGACAGGAAAATCCCTCACAACACTCATGTGTGAAAAAAGACTGTTGCCCTCTTGCTGAAATTTGAATCTAAATAAGTCAGCAAAGAGCAGCCGGCACAAGTGAGAGTTTGGAGTAATAAAGCTTATCAAAGCACGTGCGATCAGGTGGATAACAGGATTGCTTTGATCGCATATTTCCACTCATATCCATGATTGTCCAACTGACATCATAAGGGTATGAGGTGAGAGGGCATAGTGCAGACAGAGCAAAGGAGAAAATACAGGTACTTCATCAGATTAGGAAGAAAGGCAGATAGCGTAAGGCAGAGATCACAGGCCATCGCTCTGCTGTGAGAGATCACACGAAAACACTGTAACCCAGATTCCACGGTCTTCTACTGCTGCTTTCATGTAATGCCCACTTCTGTCCTATCTGCTCTGTCCATCCATCGTCTCGTGCTTTCATCCCACTAATCTGTTCCACGGTATGGAAAGACAATATACAGTAAAGACACAGCAGTGAATATGCATCGTTCTGTCCACTGGTCTCTCACTACACCATCTTCCATATTAAACATGGAATAAAAACCAAAAAAAAAGTACTCTAAAAATAACTATTCTGACACTGGACAGACGTTACAGACGAGTCCCCTCTGGACAATTTCCTCCTGTAAATCAGACAGAAGACTTATTGAGACTGGCCTGACCATTTGTGAGTACAGTACCACGAAAGAACTGTGTTCCTGCACTGGGTAAAGCCTGGACAACAAAAGCGATCCTCTGATCCGTGTAAACATGCGTCAGTGGCATTCAGGATCAGTCACCATCAACTAATGCACAGAAGCTACAAGTGGCTTTAACACGTGACGGAGCGCTGTCGTGGTATTCCTTACAAAAAGAGCGCTCTTGCCAAGTTCCTCTTATGAACAAATGCATGTTCCCCTCTGTGGCGCTACTAATGGGCAGCTTGTGACTTGCATGAAACCAGACAAATTATAAGACGGAGACGTGGCACTCAGTGGTGCCTCTGCCTTCAAACAGTCAAACATTAGTGACAATTCCTGCACAGGAAAATCTGTTGCAGTGAGAAATCCAGTGTGCCCGCCCAAATGTGGTTCAAAAAAAAAAAGTACGCAGGATTTATGGAATTTGGAAAATACACAGACTAAGACCTGTGATGGGAATAACGGCGTTACTTTTTTCAGTAACGAGTAATCTAACTAATTACTGTTTCTATCGTTACAACGCCGTTACCGTTACTAACAAGCAAATGAGGTCGCGTTACTATTTTTCAGCAAACAGTCGGTTGAAGCTGTGTTCAGGTTACCGCAGTTTACATCAGCTTTAAGCAGCTGCACGCTCCCACGGACGGCAATCACTTTCTACCTGACGATCACTTTCTGGCACAACACCTGGAGCTCAGGGGGCAAAACATTGGCATGAGTGCTGCTGTTTGACTGAGGAAGAATAAAGTAGTCGTGGTGAGACAATCACATGACCACTTCAAGACAAAGCAATAAGGTGACATGTACCAGTTTATAAATTGTGTTGATAGGCCAGTAAAACCAGAGTCATGATTAACAAGATACACGCCTGTTTTTCCTCAATAGTTTCGTCACGTTTGCTGTCTAAGGACAGCGCAGCGAGCACGCTCTGCTTATGAGCGTGTTGGTGGAAAAATGCACCATGTCGACCAATCAAAAAATGATATGGCAACATGACATTTGGTTGTTTAGGAAGAGAGAGAGTTTTGAGATGTGAGAGATTTGAGACGTTTAGCGTGTTTGGAGTGTGTAGTTAGTGTGTAGTTAGTGTGTAGT